GAACTTAGTGACTCCAGTCCTCTTTGGAGTACTGGTCATACTAGTTGGAGTCGGACTTGGGACTGTAGCACCTGGAGGTTGGACTCCGTCGCAGAGATGCATGCTAGGCTTGTTTTATATCTTTTATGTGGGTGCTTTGGGGTTACTTTGCTTGTGGGCGGGAGTGTGGCAGCCATGATAAATAGCAATCCCCACCAACCTCGTAACCTCACATGGGAGATTACTAATCAAGAGACTCATGAAGTCTGGAATGCGACTTCGGGGGTAGGCCCCGTAAACGGATGGTGGCCAGACCTTATGTTCAACCTAGAAGAAATAAGCCCCGTCAGTGTGAGTGTGCCTCCAGGGGCGCCCGGCCCTCGGAGGCCCCCATTCGCGGTCGGTCTCGCAGCCGGCAGACCGGTGGTGCCCTATTACTATCAGCGAAGAATAGACATGAGCAGAGCAGGTTTCTTCGCATGCCCAGGATTCCGGCCTGCGAAAGAGAACCGCCGCTGTGGGGGAATTGTTAACCATTATTGTGCCAAGTGGGATTGTGTCACCACAAATGATGGGGAATGGAAATGGCAGGTCCAACCTTTCCTCATTGAAATGTCCTATGTCCAACCCTGCACAAAAGGCAGATACGCAGCAAACTGCAACCTAGTGAGAATAAAATTCACAAAAGAAGGGAAGAAAGACAAGCGATGGGTAACAGGACTCTCATGGGGTGTATGCCTCTATCAGAGGCCGTACCTCTGCTCCTTAATGGCTATCAAACTCAAAGTTTCCCCACTCCCGGTGGCAGTAGGGCCCAACCAGGTGCTGCACCCACAGCCGGCCACGGCGCACCCCAAACCAGTGATAAAGTTAGGAACAAACTCACTCACCGTAGGGAGCCCCGTAAGCGCGGTGCCTGAAGTAGAACTTAGAGATCCTCTGTGGAAGATGTTGACAGCTGCATACGAGGCCTTAAATCGGTCTAATCCCAACGCTACCGAGGCCTGTTGGCTGTGTTATGATATACGGCCTCCCTTCTAC